GGGACTTCTGAAAGGCGTTTGAAAGCTTAGACCGCTAAATTCTCCTCTACAAGTTTCAGAACTACAGTACCGGTTAGTTAATCCTGCGTTGGACAGGCAATTTTCTATGCGAATGTAGATGAATGAAGAGTACACGAATCCATATCTATAGCAAATTAGCTGGAGTGCGGTATATCACAAGGCTTAGTGCTAGGTGTTTGACTATTCATAAGCGATCCAATAAGGGCGATTATTTTCGACTTGCGCTTTCTCGTAGATGATATACAGACAAGTAGAGCAATCAGGGAACCGGACGACCTTGAAGAGTTCCAGTGCAACCTTAGACGATCGTGAAAATTGGTGTTTTCCCGCACACCTCCCATCCGAAGAAATCGTGTACCTTGGATGACGTGGATCCAGATGCAAGGATCTTATTTGACGGCGTTTCCGATCGTTAAGTCTTCTGGGTTGTAGTGGGATTGGATCCGGGGAGTGTGCGTGGTACCTCTGTCCGTGGGCTCGGGAGGAGCCCGAAGATGCCTAACAGTATTACAAACGGAATTTCTTCACTATCGGTGGCTGTGACATTGTCGTGGCGTGGACGAAGTTGGTTTTCGTGCCGTATTCATTTATACGGTTCAACTGTCATTTCGTATATTACGGAACTACAGTTACCTACAACCCCTGCTGTGTCTATGATGGCTGAGTTTGTAATCACAAACGTAGGCCAAAACAAAAATTAAAAATGTTGACTCTGATGTGTGTACTGGGAGTACAGACGGTTTTTCAGGATAGTAACATTGCATCAAAAAGAGCGTGTGGTTTTGTCCCATAAGGAATTCAGCAGAGGAGGATCCATTTAGTATTGCCGAGTTTGGTGTGTTTTTGTAAACCAGAAGAAAATCTTTAAGTTTCTATCCATAGTTCCCTGCCCTCAAATCATTAAGAGAGCCCGTTTGAACGTGTCAATAAACCATTCTACCTGACCATTTGATCGAGGATGGTACGGCGGGATACGAACGTGGTTAATAATACTGCGACGACCGAAGTCCTGGAAAAGTGTGGATGTGTACTGGGTTCCGTTATCTAAAAACAGGAGCTGCCTGAAAATTCTGCTCAGCGCTGAGATGGTGATTGACGTTGTCTCCTGTGACAGTGGGATTATCGAGGGCTACTACATGTTGCGTCAATATCGATTGGAGACATAACGCCATTGAGTGGGCCAGCGAAATTGACATGTACGTGCGATCACAGCTTATCGGTTTTAGTCCACGTTTCTGGAACTATGCGGGAGGATTTTTGGCAACCTGTCGGCAACCGGAACATTGTTGGACCAACGTCTCTATTTCCTTTTCGATACTCGGTCAGTAGACGCAGCTCCGGACGATGAATGTCGTACGTTCTGCACTACGATGGCTTGTGTG